CAGGCTGCTTTGAGTCCAACTTCATCGCAAACTTTCATATTGAGCGAGCATGAAGGCAACAGTGGAAAGGAAAAACTCCCCCATGAGGAAGAAACCTCCAGCAGAACCAGGCTCAGGACAAGCTCCATCTGCTTCGACCCGCTGAGTTTGAGAGGACAGGAAGGAGGAACGGATACACAATGGCAGGTCGAGAATCACGTAAAATTTCAAATGAAAACTACTTTGTTGTAACAATTCATTTTAAGAAATGAGGTTAATTTGACCTCCAGTAATCTAAGCCTATAGCTGCATGACAAGCCAACTCTAACTATAGGATTTATCAACAAGAAAAGTCTTCAAACTGGACAGTGTGTCGGCCTCGCGGACAGAAACTGGAAGTTGGTTCCACAAGAGAGGAGCCTGAGAACTGAAAGCTCTTCCTCCCATTCTGCTTTTGGAAACTCTAGGAACCGCAAGTAAACCTGAGAGCAAAGTGCCCTGTTAGGAAAATATGGAACAACAAGATATTTAATTTTATATATTATTTATAATATAAAAAGACACTGGTCTTAACAAGCATGCGTGTTTCAGTTTAACACAGAACCCCAAGTCAACAAACACCAGTGATGTTTTTACAGGCCTGGCCAACTTAGGCTACTTAGCCTGTTAGCATCGGTGTGTAGGTTGTACCCTGAACGCACCACAGGCTAGCTCGGCTACATTAGCTTCAGGTGCAGCAGTGTGGTCACTCTGGTTACACCATCTGCAGAATAATCACACAGCTTTGCACAAGCTGTACCATCTAAAGGCCAGAAATGCTAACATGCATCACCAACGACAGCTACATGCACTTTCACTTTTTTTTTAACCCCATACCGCCCAGGCTGGAGCTAGCTAGCTCCACGCTAGCGCTAACGTCAACGATGTGCGGCGTTGCGTTTGATTTCGAGGGCGCACGTTGATCCGCAGACATGACAGTTGTTGGGGCTGTTTGAGGCTGAACGTGGAGCCGTTCTGACGCCGTGTTCCCTGCGTGTCGTGTCTCGCTAACAAATAAAACACAGTCTGTTGCTGTGGTGGCAAACCCACTCAACTCTGTGTCAGAGTCGGCAGCTTCCGGCGGTCCGAGCGCGCTTCTCCCGGCGTCTATCAGTCATGGAAAAGTGCGTAAAAAATCTAAATACAGCGACATTTTGTGGAGGCTTACCGTTCGAGAGCGACCTCCTTGTTGCAGAGTTGCACAGATTCACGGGTGCTCTTCTTCTCCTCCCCTCCCTCTAGATTCGCGGATGACGTGCGGTTTTTTTTTTGTTTTGTTTTTTTTAAAGCTCTTTGTGTGTAAAATGTTGGTTGTTGTGCGGGCTGCGGGGTCCTTGGAGCCCTGCTGGTGCGTGGCCCGGCCTCTCCACCGTCCCGCGCTCCGTCCAGGCCGCTGTGTGGGCAGCCAGGCGCGCCGCCGAGCGTCTGGCTCCGGATTCTCCTGGTGCCCAAAACCAGCAGAACTCGGAGGCGCGCGCTCACACGTTCGGTGTAATTTATGTTTTAAAATCGATTCAGACGCTGCAGTTTTATGACATCTTGATGTCTGGACACTACAGACCAAAGGGATCCAAAGTACAGCCCTCCTATATTTTTAATAATATGCAGAAAAGACGTGTGGTACTATAATAAAGTTGCTAACTATTTGAAATGGGACACATGACTAAAATCAAACGTGGCACATAAGATTGTCTGGCAGGAAAGGTTAACTTTATGCATTCTGGTTATTTGAATATAGGGGTGCACAATATTATCAGGTTCAGATCCTACCTCGTGGACAGATCCTTTTGTGTCTCCATCAAGGATTTTAGTTCTGCAGCGGCAGAGCTTAAATGAGGGGTTCCGCAGGGGTCCATCCTGGGTCCCCTCCTATTCTCTTTATACCTGCTGCCACTTGGCGCTATTTTCCAGAAACGCAACATACCCTTTCACTTTTACGCTGATGACTGTCAAATTTACTTCCCCCTAGACACAATGGTACATGCTCTATTCAACCGCTGCTTGACTGCCTGGCTGACATCAGGGACGGGATGGCTTTAAATTTCTTAAGTTTCAATGAAAAGAAGTCTGAAGTCGTTGTTTCCTCCCAACGACACGGTCACAAACCACTGCATCGACCTCTCCGCTCTAACCCTGTCAGAAAAACAAAGAGTCACTAATCTGGGCGTGATAATGGACCCTTCCCTGAAACTTAACAATCATGTTAACATGATTGTTAAATCATGCTTCTTCCAACTGAGGTGGCTGTCTAAACTGAAGCCCATATTGTCCAAAAATAACCTGGAGACAGTAATACATGCATTCATTACATTGAGGCTTGATTACTGCAATTCACTCCTGTTTGGTATCAGTCAGACCTCCATTGCACGACTACAACTGGTCCAGAATGCAGCAGCCCCATTTTTAACCAGTACAGGCAAAAGAGAGCACATCACACCAGTTTTGGCCTCACTGCACTGGTTACTGGTTCACCTTTGAATCCAGTTCAAAATACTCATGTATGTCTACAAATCACTGAACAGTGTCGCCCCACCCCCCACCCCCCTGATTTGCTACAACCGTATGTCCCACCACGCTCCCTGAGGTCAGCGGACCAGTTGCTCCTCACAGTTCCAGGAACTCGTCTTAAGCGCAGAGGTGACAGGGCCTTCTCTGTAGCAGGACCAAGACTTTGGAACGAGTTACCTCTGTTTGTCAGACAGGCCCCTCCCTCTCGGTTTTCAAGTCCCGTTTGAAATCCCACTACTATTCAGTAGCTTTCAACACCAGATGATCTGTGTTTTGATCCTGTATGCTCCACACTGGTTAGTCATCATATTTATTATCTGCATCGTTTTTATGTCTATACTTACTTCATTCATTCATACTTATTTACTTCATTTTGTATATTGCTTCGTGTGTTACCTGTTGTTCTGTCTGTACAGCACTTTGGTTGGCCTTGTTGCTGTTTTAAGTGCTCTATAAATAAAATGGTATGGTATTAGTATCGATCGATATTAACAATAAAGTTAAATATCAAACATCGGCCATTCTATCTAAATAACTCACTGAGATGAAAGGCTTCTGTTTTAAGTTCATTTTTAATTTAAGAAAACAGTCAAGTGCATCTATTAATGCACTGCTACTTATGAGCTTTTCACTTGTGAGCAGGTTAGATTTGTGAAAATTTTCAATGTTTGAGTGTTGTCATTGTGCTAGAGTAAATGTCATGAATAAATTTGACGTTAAACATAATCCAAGTTGAAGTGTTGCATCATTTTCAGCCCCGTTTTGACATCTGCATTTGGTTGCAGGCCAAACTGACAAAGACCATGCAGAATAATGTATTTTAACTCCACAGCAGAGAAAGCTATGCAGTCTCTGTAAGTAGGTCTAGGAAAAAAATATCAGTATTGGTATTGGTTATCAGCCAAATAAGTTTTAACATATTGGCATATCAGATACCGGCCAAAAATCCAATATCGTGCATCTGTTGGACTCCTGGCAGGGACCAATGCAGACATGTTCTTGGTTTGTTTTCTACATTCACCTTAGAATCTAGCTGTTTTTTGTTACTTTTCTTTTTTTGTAGCCATCCTATTTGTTTAAAAAAAATAATAATTGTATGACTTTTTTATAAGTTTATTGTTGTCATCATTCTTTGTTGAAATCAGGTCTCTCTTGTAAATGAGTCCTCGAGGCTCAATGGGATTTACCTGTTTAAATAAAGGTTGAATGAATCCCTATTTGAATACAAATGACATAAAACTTAATTGACTGGGTTTGTCAGCGACTTCACCCCCCCCAGTTTCAATAAACCCAACCAGTTGTTTCATTGCACGGACCCGTTGGTTTGATGAAACCATCTTTGTTGGTGAGATTTCCAGATTGAAAAAACTGAAATTCAAGAGGTTTACGCATGCGTTCTGTGGGGATTACTTTCAGCGTTGCAAAATTAAATTACTGACATGATTAGTGTGACAAAACGGGGAGCGGTGGTGCAGAGGTAAGAGAGATCTGTGATTGGAAGGTCGTTGGTTTGAATCCTCATAACAACATATAAATGTGGGATAGGTGAAGCACCACACCTGCCTCCACTCTGGGCCCTAAACCCCCGCCATCTGCTCATTTGGGTGCGCTAGATGGCAGCTCTCTGCTCCACGCAGAGGGCTGTGGTAGCTCGGTGGTTGCTTCAGGATGGTTACCCGGCGTTAAAACAATTGCCAAGTCTTCGTGCGAGTTAATTCGCTGTGGTGACCCCTGAAGAAAAGAGCAGCCGAAAGAAGATTGGGGTGACAAAAAGGGCAGCTGCCCCTCTGTGCAACCCCATAGAGCCGGCGCTGCTACTGTGACATACAATGTAAAAATGAAACAAAAGGAACAGATCTAAACCAAACGAACATTATTGACGAGAAACGTGAAATAACTCCAAATAACACCCACACACAGGATACCAACGGTATGCTAGTCTGAGGGTCTTATAGTCCACCCCCACCCACCATGATTTTCAGTTCTTGTACCAAAACAGCTAAAGTTCAGTGTGCGTTCAAAGCGGAGGACTAATGAGCTTGGATCATGATCTGATGTTGCTTCAGGAATCTGAAGTCTATTTTTTTAAGGGCAGTTGTGCCTGAGTAGTTAAGAGCAGCTGTCCTCCAATGTGAGAATTGGGGGTTTGACTCCACCAGCAGTCACATGCTGAAGTGCCCCTGGGCAAGACATTGAACATATCATTGCCTCCGATGTGTCCCATTGGCGTATGTGATCAAGCACTTATTATTGTAATCTAGTAGAGTGCTGTATGAATGGATAAATGAGGGTGCATGTTGTAGTTTAAAGCACTTTGAGTATCTTGACAAGATAGAAAAGAACTTGTCGATTTACCATTTAATACCTTCAGTCAACCTGCAGAACTGATTTGTTTATGGATCCTTTTTAAGTATCAAACAAAACAAACGGGAGAAGACTCAAGAGTTTGCACAATCATTGACGAGACGAGCCACTGGAAGGTAGCGAGATATTTTTTATTAAGTTTAGCCATTTCTGAATCCTGAAGCTTATGATGTCAGAAAATAAAGACAGCAACTGTACAGAAGTTGTCCTCTACTGTCAGAAAGGCAAATTCCAATTAATACAGGGTGGCAACGTTACTCAAAGAAATCATTTTGAAAAATAAAACCAAGAAATGGTCTTTTACTTCACACGTGACGACTGTTAAACTTTCCAGCACAACTTATTGATGTTTTTCACAGGAATCAAACATCTTGTTTACACACTCATGCAGTGCTCTTATTCTGAAGAAACGCTGCTCTGGAGATTATTCTTAAAGTACGAACTACATCAACATAAGTATTTAAAGACGGGACATTAACCCCACCGCTTCTATACACGAGGGTGGACTTCATAAATGTTTTCGTCACAAACCTCACACTCTCACTGTGCTGCCATCAGCCGAGCCCAGTCTGGTGTTGGTTTGACAAAGAGTGGGAGGAATGCATGTGAAGATTGAAAATAGCTATTGAATCTTCCAGCCCGCACCTTCAAAGCTCAGGTTATAGCTGGTTACGTGAGAGTGGGACAAACAGGAAGCGATCACTGGGGCAGTTGAAGCAATGTGCCCTGTCCAGGGGGCAGGTAAGTGATGTTCCGGGAGCGTGAGAGCTGTTGGGCGATTTCCTCAGCTGCCTCCAGTTTACGGAGCTCAACCAAACCATCACCAGCCTCCATCAGGGAGTTGGCAATGAGCAAAGCAGCCTGAGAATCTCCCTCAGCTGAGATGATCGCCGCCTGCTTCTGTTGCTCTGCCTAAAAGAAGAAAACAGAAAATTACTTAATTAAACTACGACTTTTCCCATCGGGGGCTCTGGCACAGACATTTAGTTTAAAATGATACCTTTTCCACAACAAAACGAGCTCTCTCAGCATCCTGCTGGGCCACCTGTTTCATCTCAACAGCCTCGGTGAATTCTTTGCCAAAGGTCAAATGTGTCTAAAAATATATATAGAGAATGTTTATCTAAGTCAGGACTTAATGAAAAACAGAAAGAAAGACAAGGATTGTTGATTACAAGCAGCTTCATACCAGTGATACATCATCCAAGATGAGGCCGAAGGTGGACGCTCTTTCTGTGAGGTCCTCACTGACCTGCCGGGACACGAGCTCTCTCTGAGTGATCAGCTCGCCAGCATCAAACCTAGCCTGGGAGAAACAACATGCGGCAGTCATTTCGTCAATATTTTAACTATAAAAAAATAGAAAAATTATTATTTACAGGCTTCATACTTACAACAACAGACTTTAAGACCTCTGTGGTGATAGATGGTAGCACCCTCTCATCATAGTCTTCACCAATGCTGGTGAAGATTCGTGGCAGGTTAGTCGTCACCGGTCGGAAGAGGATACGCAGTGTGATGTTAACATTCTGTAGATCTGCAGGGTGAATGGTTTCAAAGTCATATATGATGCACAGCTTTATTTAAACGTCAAGTGCATTTTTAAAATAGTTTGTTTTTAAATAAACAAAAGAGACGAGTTGCAGTCGTGGATCCAATGAAACCTGCTGATATGTGACAAACAATCACAAGCAGTCTTTATGTTTTAGATTACTGTACCTTTGCTGCCCGTGATGACGGGCACGTTGCGTGGGCGGGATCGGCAGTCAAAGAGGATGGGTTTCTGAACCCAGGGGATGAAGAAGTGAGTTCCTTCACCAACAACTTCCTCTTGTACTCCCCGAAACCTGTCGAATATAACAGCCCGGTGCCCTGCATCAACTGCAAAGGAAAGAACAGCCTTTTGAACACGCTGCGGATAGTTTAAAGGTTTGTCTCACATCTTAAAAGTGCTCATTCTATTCAGTGTAGTGTTTACCTCCTAACCATAACACCACTGATGCTTAGTTTAAATTAAAAAAAAAGTAAATGAAATGATCAAGTTACAAGTTGCTATTTTAGTATGAATGAACAATCTGATTACCAGTACTGTTATTTTATTAGAAATATAAACAGTAAAGACTGTTCCATCTAAATAAAGTAATCTGCGTCAACAATGGGGCTGCACAAAGTTATGAAAACATGCAGTTGAGATTTTGTTGAATACAACGGCAATATATTAGTTTGCAAAAAAAAGTTGTGTCATTACAAAGTTCAAAACATTTTATATGCCGACGGCATTTAGAAGAAGTTGGATCTATCTAATGGTTAAATTAGTGTTTGTAATTATTTGGAATCCTAAGCGATATTGAACACGTTACTATTGCAACATCAATACTTTTTAAATAATTAGTGATGCGAAGCTAATGATTATGAGCTGCTTCAGTGATAACCAGGGCTTCTAAAAACAAAACATGAACACAGACACAGCACAAAATCAGATTTTCCAAAGCATTTATAACAATTTAAACACCAACATATAACACAAAGAAACTGATTTGATAAAAACCGTGAATTTAAATAAACCCAGAGCCACGTGTAGCTTTCCAGAACTCACCGTTAAAGAGGGCTGAGTTCACAATACTTCCACCGATGGCGAGGGCAATCCCAACCTTCCCAATGGACTCGAACAACTTGGACATGACAGCAACCTCCTGCGGGCAACAAAAACAAGCAGCCTTTGTAAACCCACACACAAGCTACTTTACTCCATGTAAACCACGTAAGCTTTTGTAGGGATCCTTGCAGACAACTTTGATCCCGTCTGTCCAGGAACAGTTGGCTTACGGCCTTGGTCGCCTCGGCTGCAGCGTTAGCATTAGCTAGCGCTAGCTTAACGTCTAGCCGTAAACTGAGCCAGCATGTAAATTCGCACAAAAACAAAAAAACGGTAAAATGAGTACTGTAGCAAATATTTACTATAAATGTTAAGAAATTAAAATAATACGGGTTTTGTGGACCATATTGCTAGCACGCCGGGTGAGAATGCATGCAACATCAATAGCTTGTGCTAGACTCAACTGTCGAGTTTTCACGGTTAAGTAACGTCAGTATTGATAAAGAAAATCCTTGTTCTTGCATCATGGTTGCTACAATAATGATTAACAACAACGTGAACTGTTTTCTGTGCCCAGAAGTTACCACATGTCACAACTCACCTGAGTTTACTCAAATGCCTGTGACCTCCACCGACCGGACTCGACGTGAAACACATGAAATATTTCCTGCACAGCGCATGCGCGTTGTACGTTAAAACGTGGCTTGTGATTGGTCAAGAACACAGATCTCTTCTTCTCTGCTCCGAACAATCAGATGTTACTGAGATGTTACACTGCCACCTACTGTTTTAATTTGTCATATTGATATGATGTTTTATTAATTATTACCAAATTTTTCTAATTACCAAATCATTATCATTACCAAATTGATTCTTAAAACTCATTTCACCGCTAAGTTCATGTATATTTTAAGTGATTAAAGTATCCTTTTTTATTTTAAAATCATGCTTTCATTATACTTTCATCAAAATTCAATTAATCTCAATGTTAGAGCAGGTGACTGATTTTAAATACCTTGGAACAATAAATGACACCGACTATATTTACAAAAAAGCCAGACAGCATCTCCACCTTCTGTATAAGCTGAGGAGCTTTAATGCAAGCAAAATTACTTTGCAGTTGGTGTAAAGGTCACTGGTTGAAAGTGCTGTTTCATTTAATATTGTCTCATGGTATGGAAACCTTCTAGCCAGAGACAGGGACAAGTTGTCCCGGGTGGTCAAACAAGGTAGTAAAGTCACTGGTCATCAACAAATGACACCTACAGAGCTGTACAGTCAGGTTCAGGAAAAAAAAGGCAATACAGGTTTACAATGAGCCAACTCATCCACTGCAACCATTATTCAGGTTGGTACCATCTGGTAGAAGACTGCTGGTTCCTTTAGCAAAGAAAAATGGGTACAAAAAGTCATTTGTTCCCTCTGCGGTGAATGAACTTAACAAGGTCCTATTTAAACGCAGCCTCACATAACAAACCACTGTCTGCTGGGATGTTTCCATATTTTAATGTATCGTGTATTTTAGAACGTTTTTAACTGAATGTTTTTAATTGATTTAGCAAAGCTTGGTTTTAAAAGGTTTTAAAGCTTTTTTAATCACATTTTTATTGTTTTTATAAGCCAGATGTCAAAGACAAATCTTCATTTCATTGAATGTTGTGGACAATAAAGTTGAATTGATTGATTGATTGATCGATTACTCACTACCTGTGCAATAACCTGTCACACAACCTGTGTAGTATTTGTTAATTATGTGCAATATATTTCTTGTGCATTGAAACTTACGGTGAAATACTTATTTATATGAATTCATTCTACTTGCAACATTATATTCTACCATGTTGTTGTTCATTATATGTTTTTTAGACCTTGTAAATATTATATTTCTTTTTCAGTTTTGGTTCTTTATTTTGTACCCGTACTGCATGCTTTAGTATTTCTTGTTTTTGTTTGTTTTTAGCGAGTTGAATCGGTTCTTCTCATCCTGAACATTTCATTGCTCTGTTGTCTTTTTGTTAACCTGCGTATGACAAATAAACAACATTACATTCTTTTTTGCATATCTGCTTTGGCTTATTCAAGGAAGAACTTGACCCCGTTAACAGTCGTCTGGAGTGGAGTACACCCAGATTGGCCGTAACACAACCACATTTTCTCACCAATCTCGCGTCTAACCAGAAAATATGTTTTTCTGTGTAACCACATGCTTTCCCTGAGATAAAATATTCAAAGGACACAAAACAACAAAATTTGATCTGGAGAAAAAAAAAAAATGAAATTGCATAAAATCAAACTATCTTGATTTACCAAAGTGAAATTTTGTAAATTAAAAAATATATATATTTGTGATTTAAAGATTTAAATAAATAACAACACTATCTGAAACACAATGAATAACCATGAGATGAGCAACACTATAAAAACACTAATGAAATATAAAACATGAAAACAAAGGAGCTGGATCAGAATGAAAACAACAAAAATTAAACAAAATTATCCCACTGGGACAATAATATGACTGCAGTCTGTAACAAACTGAAGCAAACATCTGCAAAATCTTTGGTTAGACATGGAAAGAACCACAAATAATAAATACATAATTATAGTTTTGAGTCTTTTTGTCTTGCTGGTTTTCTTTAAACATTTAGGAACAGTTGCAGATTTGTGCTCGGGGCTTTATTTCATATTCCGTGGTTGAACCGTACAAAGTCTAATCATCTTGTCTTGCACACACTTTTATTTGGGTCAGTGTTATTTTTATGTATATGCAACAAAAAATAAAACTGAGGTCAATGCTAATCCTGAAGCTGCAGGTCTGAGCCCTGGTTGCAAACAGGAAACCAGTGGAAAGAAGCGAAGGCAAGCCTTATGTGTTTGTCTGATTGAGACATGGGTATACTTTTTGTACTTATTATGATGAGCTAGGGTTTATTCCTCAGCAGGTTGCAGCATCTGTATGATTAGGTTTTGTATGACGCTGCCTGGCCAAAAAAAACGTTGCCACCAAAAAAAAAAAGGTCACACACTAATATTTTGTTGGACCGCCTTTAGCTTTGATTACTGCATGCATTTGCTGTGGCATTGTTTCAATAAGCTTCTGCAATGTCCATCCATTTATCCATCCATTTTCTTCTGCTTATCCGGGGTCGGGTCGCCGGGGTAGCAGCCTATGAGGCCCAGACTTCCCTCTCCCCAGCCACTTGGACCAGCTCCTCCAGGGGAAGGCATTCCCAGGCCAGCCGAGAAACGTAGTCCCTCCAGCGTGTCCTGGGTCTTCCTCTGGGTCTCCTCCCGGTGGGACGTGCCCGGAACACCTCACCAGGGAGGCGTCCAGGAGGCTTCCTAACCAGATGCCCGAGCCACCTCAAATGGCTCCTCTCGATTGCTCCTTCTGCAATGTCACAAGATCTGTTTCCATCCAGTGTTGCATTAATTTTTCACCAAGATCTTGCATTGATGACTAGACACTAGATACGATGGGTGCATCACTTCACCTGCCTCTCTTCTTACCCTGATGCATCCATCACTCTGGAACAGGGTAAATCTGGACTCATCAGACCACATGACCTTCTTCCATTGCTCCAGAGTCCAATCTTTATGCTCCCTAGCCTTTTTTTCCGTTTAGCCTCACTGATTAGTGGTTTTCTTAAGGCTACACAGCTGTTCAGTCCCAATCCATTGAGTTTCCTTCACATTGTGCGTGTGGAAATGTTCTTACTTTCACTTTTAAACACAGCCCTGAGAGCTGCTGGTGTTTTTCTTCCATTTGATTTCACCAAACGCTTAAGTGAACGCCGATCATTCAGGATTACATTTCTTCCTGGAAGACGATGGGTTCCCACTATCCTTCCAGATTTTAATAATGCGTGGGACAAAAAGTTCAATCTGGTCCTCTGGACATTCAATAAACAAAACAACGCAAAACAAAACAAACAAACAAAAAAATGTTGAAACGTTTTTTGTTTTGCTTTGTTTTGTTTTTTTGAATGTCCAGAGGACCAGATTGAACTTTTTTAGATTTTTCTACCTGGATTACTGAGCATGCATCAGAATGCGTTGGACAGTTCTTAACCTAATTTTATTAGTTTCTTCAATCTCCTTAGATGTTTTCTCTGCTTGATGCCAATGATTTGACCCTTCTCAAACAGACGGACATCTTTTCCACGACCATGTGTCTTTCCACATGGTTGTTTAAGAAATGAGAAGCAACTCATTGCACCATTGGGGCTGCCAGCTGAAAGATAATCCCCCTTGCAGTAATTATTTGCTTAGTTAAATCCAGGTGGCGACGTTCTTTCTTTCTTTATTGTTTTTGGTCCAGCCAGTGTATGAAGTGGACTTAGTGCTTCAGAACAGGACTTTTAGAGACAGTAGATATTATCTCAAGGGGATGGAGATGTTTGTGAAGCTGTGGTGTCGCACCAGTCTGAAGATGCGATCCACTATATTTCAGGGTATTAGATTGTGGAATGATCTGGAGGTTGATATTAAAAATGCCAAAACTATGTACATATTCAAGAGGATGGTAAAAATTTGTTTTTAAAAAAAAAATATTAAGTATAATGTGAGTTCATAAAAATTGTTTACAGTTGATCTTATATTTTAGCCAAGTTTTTATTTTATTATTTTATTTTTATTAATTCATCTTGCTTTTGTATAGTAATTTTGTTTGGAATATATTTTGGGGACAAGGGGCAGGTATTATAAGAACTCATTCTTCTTCTGCTGCCTTTCATTTTATTTCTGTGATTGTGTATCTTTTTTTCTTTTCTTTAAATTGCATTATATTTGTTGTTTGGATGAAATGAAATGAATAAATAAAACATACTTTTATAAAAACCTGTGTGTGCCTACGGGCGGCGCTCTGTCGCCCCCTGGCGGAAATAACCCGCACTGCTTGCAGTTAGTTTCGCTTTTCTTCCTCAGCTCGTTAAGAAGTGACGATCTTTGGACTTCAGGGAGAAAAGAGAAACCACAGCGAAGCCTTTCAAGGTCAGTGACGATCGCTTCTGAAAGACATGCCTTAACTTCACTTAGAATGACGTGGTCAGGTCGGTTCGGCCGCTCAGACGCGTCTGATTTATTCACTTCCGGATACTCGACGCTTGTTTTTTCGCTCTTTCTTTATCAACTCGCGTCCCCCCTGAAAACACTCGCTTCCTCTTAGAGGGGGGTAAAATCGGATTTAAGCGGGACAGAGTCTCAAAATCAGCATAGCTTTGAGCAGATACGAGTGATGAGAAAAAGCAGCATCGACTTTTGAGGCGAAGAGTTTGGATTGTAGTCAAAGATCTGCGAACATGTCGATTATAAGAGGAGGAAGAGGAGGAGGGTCTTCATCCTCCACCTCATCATCCCAGAGACACACATCAAAGTAGATTTTTCTTAATTCTTCACTCTCCTGGCGTGTTTTACTTTTAATAATAATAATAATAATAATAATAATACTTTATTTATAAAGCCCTTTAAAACAACCACAGCTGCCACAAAGTGCTGTACATATAAAATCAAGAACATTTAAACACATAAAAACAGTTGTTAAAACATTAAGATCAATAAAAGTAATAAAAAACAGTGCAGAGTAAATTTAGTGTGTGCTAAAAGCCAGGGAGTAAAAATGTGTTTTTAAAAGAGTTTTAAAACTGGACAGTGAAGGGGCTCGTCTGATGGGAAGAGGGAGATCGTTCCACAG